TTTCTGATCAATATTATCTATGATGTTTCATTAGTTCTATTGTTTTAACTGTTGTATTTTTCTTTGGTTGCTGCTTTACCACAAAATATAAACAATAATTTGTGGGGTTTTTTTTAATGTTACCCATTTGTGAAGCTTGAACAAACTTTTTTCCATTTCCGGAACACTTGCTACTTGAAATACTGTTTGTCTGAGCAGTCGCGGCAAACCAAACTTCATAGAACTGCAGCAACCTGAAGTCCAAGATTCATGACACAGCATCAGACAGGCACAGATTATAGCAACCTGAAGTCCAAGATTCATGACACACCATCAGACAGGCAGAGATTATCAGGAATGCACAAAACCAAACTCATATGGCTTCATAAACACACAAAAACATATTGTAACACACATAACACATATGTTAGTGTTGCACTAGACATACAGTAGTTCTATTCCATTCTAGTGTTAGAGAACGCATGATCTGAACACAGTGAGAGCATAAAGCCCCACCTCCATCATTCATTGCTTTCTTTAGTTACAACTGAGTTTAAACAGAAGAGGTCCCTGCATACATGGACACTCCCCAGTCTTAACTACAGTTGTAGACTGCCTCTTAGCTATTGAAACACCCCATATGCTGGTTTCAGATCTCCATTAAATGGGAGCCCTACTTAAAGGCTATAGCAACAAATGTGAGCAACAAAAGGAAATATCAAAGCTTTTGGTTTTGCAAAACTACTTACCATTTTCAAGTTGTGTTTGCCTTAGGTTATAGGCTTAATCTTACATTTAAGCTAATTTTAACTAAGCCGTTTTCTGTAATTTTGAAGGGAGTGGTGTACAAATAATATATAATTAATTTCTAGAAGGCTGCTGTACATTATAGCCATCTCAACTCAGCCTACTCTGGTGCAGTTTCCTACATAACAGACACAGGTACAAAATACAACACCAGCTGTCATGAGCAGTAATGAAAACCAGATTCAGCAGGTGTAATAATGATTTTCCAATGTACTGGACTATTATAATAAATGGCAGCAACTCTCTGTTTTAATGTTTTATCACAGTAATGTTTTATTACAATGTCTTCTATCAACTGAAGTGCTATTATGGGGAAAAGCAAGCAAAGGCATGAAAAGAAATACGATCAAGGAACCAATGAAAAATAGCAAAAACAGAATCCAGTCATGAATTCCAACAGCCTACACTGAAGCTTCATGAGCTAATGAGACAGATAAACCAAGGCAGTCACTGTCACAAAAAAACTTTAAAAAGCTAACCAGGAAAGCAGTCAATGGGTAATTCTGCGAAAACAGGGGAAAAAAGATTTCAAATGAGAAGACATGGTTAAAATTGAAAGCATGATTGCATATCACAACACTGTGCAGGCTCATGAATGTAATACCTGCCTAAGTGCCTTATCTTCTATTCTTGCTTCATCTTATCGTCTTGTTTTATTTTCTCTTCTAACGTTATCTTCTGAGTAGGTCCATAATATCAAAGAAATGAAATACTCCAAGGCCCATTTAGAGCTCTGCACAGTTCGTACAAATGTACAACAGAATAATTGATTCTGTGCGTTCTACCACTAAAAACAAAGTACAAGGCTTCACAGATCACAGCTACAACATTTGTCACAGCTTATGCCTTAAAGGCAATGCAAGCGGATATAGATATTGTTGTACCCTCTGTAATCCAGATTTTAATCTCTTATGTTGTTCATATGGCCAAATTATTCAGCTAAGTGAGGAAAACCTGTGTGAACTGGTGCCAAAATGATTAAATGCAAAATGCCTCAAAAGACAAGTGTAAACAAAGCTAAAAGATGTTCTCATATAATTATATCATAATTACAAAAATCAGTTACAATAGGTGTAAAATAAAGGTAACGCCTTCATTAATCTAACCCAGTTCATATATTTATGACCGTTCAACCGTTCTTGTTTATTTCCGTCAACCATATACACCCACCTTTTTCCTTTTCCCTTCTCAAGGAAGCTACCCTGATGAAACTACCCTTACCAGTTGCAAAACATCAAAGCTGCTCATATCAGTGACTTGAGTTGCCTTTCCCTTCTCTCCATCACAGATAAGAGGAGAAATATAAAACATCTGCGCCTTGCTAGCAATGTGGTTTGTGCTTGTATATAAAATTGGCAAATAGTAGTTTAATAATCAAAATATCAAACAAAGATGCTGGAAAAATACACTGTGATCAACTAACTGGCTTAACAAATATCCTTTCACACAGGTGTTAGATGCAAGATAAAACACATAGGTATGTGTTCACACATATTTATTTATTTTATTTCATTTATACCCTGCCTATCTGGTCGATTGTGACCACTCTAGGCGGTCACAATCGACCATACAAACCATACATTTTTTTGGTAGAAGAGCTTTTAATCTTCTCCCCTCTCTAGTGATGGGAAGGCCTGGAGAGGGGAAATGGAACATTTGGTGGGAGGAAGGGTTTTTTTCCCCAGAAAAAATGGAAAAAGTAGAGTGTGGAATATGTTCTTTTACAATGACAAACAATGTCTATTGTTTATCATTGAGAGTTATATTAAGAAAAGGAAAGTTCTAAGCTCTGTACTTTCTATCTTCATTCATATCAGAGTGTAGCACAAATGAAAATCATGGACACACATGAAATCAAAGACCAATTAAAACTAGACTATTTTTTGACCCAAAGTGGTCAGAGCTTGACATGTGTGCAGATACTTTTCCTCAGCTCCAGTGCATGCCCTGGCCCTGTACTCACAATACTTTTCCACTCTTTGGGGAGACTCCTATATCCCCCAGCTCTGTGCTCAAAGTACAAAACTGTGGGACAGACAGGTTAATAGTCCAACCTGGTTTAAAACAGTTGCTTCCACCCTTATGACCCAGTTCCCATAAGCCAAGAGTGTTGTCCAGCAGCATTCTTAGATGTTCTTAGATATCACAGTGACGCAAACAGGTCACAATGCCCCTCACTGTCATTTGTTCAGCTGTTGCTCTTATTATCTGAGGTGGCCTCCAGCTTAGCAGCAGAATACTACTGAACACTGGCAAAGTAGTGTATTAAAAATATCAGTTTCACTATCAATGGCAATGTGAAATGTATTAAAATGAAAAACATCATCTGTATTACAAAAACTTCTTAGGCACAGTCTACCAGCCACAGGTTTCCAAACACACAGTCCAGTCTACCAGCAGAAGCTAACCATGGAAAACTTGCTGCTTATCTACTGTGGCATCTTTGAAGTATCAAATGTTCGGCAATATGTGAGAGCAATGACCAGGAACTTCATTGCTGAAGAAGGGGCATGCAAATTCCTTACAGAGTGAATGAAATTACATGGTGTTTCCCCTTAATATCATTCACAGATAACATGGCTGACAACAGCTACTCAAACAGCAATCAAGTGTCAGGGCAGTTCACAATGTTTTGATATATCAGTGAAAATTCTCAGTCATCCAGATAAGGTAATCTGGAAGTTGAGTCATGGCAACTGAACTTCTTTCTTATTAGGTTGAAAAGTAGGCTCTAAATAGGCTCATTAGATGGACAAAGGACTGGGGGAAGTAAAATCAATGTGGAGGATATATCAGGGATCTCTCTCCTCAGACTGAAACTACTTGGCTGAGTAATGAAACGTTTCAACCTAACAAGAAAGAAGTCCAGTTACGATGACTCAACTTCCAGATAACGTTTTGATAAGTTCCTAACATGACTTTCCACCCTAAACAGATATACAGTACATAACTTCCGAGGGAACTTAAGCAAGATAGATTTGTGCATTCCACTCATGCTCAAAATTTCCACCACAGTCGGGAGAGGAGGGAAGAGGGAAAGTCACTGAAACCAACTTTGTGACTTTAAACACTAGCCAAACACCAGAAATCTGCCTTTACTTACTGGAGCTGCATAGCAACTGATTATGTCCTAGATTTCACTATTTTAAGCATTAAGGAGCGGATCAAAGAAGCAACCAACGCTCCAACCAACAACTGATTGATCTGGCTATGCCATTAAAAGCAGTAAGGAAAAGAATCTGAGAAAAAGGAAAGATGGTAACAGATGTTTCAGCCGCCAGTTCCTTGGCTCCTGTTCCTGGAGCGAGATCTTTCCAACACAGCCTCCCTCTTCCCCCTGGCCACAGACAGGCCATGAAGTTTCTTTACCATAAATAGGTAGCTCAACTGCTTCTGATTTAATCCCCAGATTTAATTGCATCAAATGGACAAGTCGCACCAAAGCCTTCTCTACACGAAACCCAGTCAAGCGAAGATATACAGTACCTGGGATGGGGGAACGGCACAGACTCGTAAGCAATGGGCACGAGAGAAGGACGATCAGGCTGCCGTATTTAGTGATGATTCATTATATAGATCCACCACTACGCCCTTCATGGACGGGGGGGGGGACACACCATTTAAGGCAGGACTTCTTTCACCCTTAAACGGAATTCGATCTGCCCATCATCTCCAATACTCTCCAGATAGAAGAGTTCGCCTGGCCGCCGGGAACAAATAGAAAAGCGACCCGACCTCCGAATTCCCCCCCCCCAAAATCTCACAAGCGCACCTAAATATTCCCCAATTCGATCTACCGAAACAGGGCGCATGCTGTCGCCTCCCTCCTCTCTTCCGCCAGCACTATCAATATTGCATCATGCAAGCATGCTTTTTGCAAAATGGATTCCCAGACCAAGAATGTGGCTGAACTACGAAGCACATGTCGGCCGGTACTACTACCCTCCCCTAGAAGGCGGGAAGGCCAAAAAAAAGAGAAAAAAAATGAAAAAAAAATCCTGTGCAGGATCTTAGGTCCAGAGAAGAGGCAATCCAGGCCCGGGTGGTGCCGGGGTTCCCTCGGTGACATTACCTGTCCCCCCCCCGTAGCCCACCTCTGCCCACGCGGAGTCCTCCCCTCTGACAAGGTTATCCGTATCCATGATCCGCCGAAGGAAAAAAGAAAGGGCCGAGTCCCAGGGGATGCGAGCCGGCACCAGGGTCCCTCGACTTACCCGGCCCGTAACCTCGAATCCGGAGAAGTTATTCAATGAAAACGTGGTGTCGGCGGCACCGAGAGCCGATGTGGACAACGAGGGTCAATTAAGAAAAGGTGGCCGATGGAGGGACGAAGAAATGGAAAGCGCCCCGGAGTCTCCGGCTGCTGAGGTGGATGGTCTCGGGAGAAGGAAACGATGTACAGTAGTTGTCGCCGCAACGACCTGGAAACACGGCAAGCGCCCTCGCTTTTTTTACAACCGGCCCTCCTCCTCCTCCTCCTCTTCCCGGGCACGCGGAGGGAGCTCCTCCTCCCCGCTTTCTCATTCTTTTCCGAGTGAATTAAAATGAGCCGAGGGCGGGAGAGGAAAGAACGCGCCGGGGAATGGCTGCTCGGAGCCTTCACTCAACGGCTTGCCCTCGGGCAGCCAAACGAAAGCGAGCCTTCATGAAGGACGGGCTTGGCATCGAGGCGGACCAGGGGGCGCCCGCGGGCCTCACCTAGCGCGTCAGGGAGCGATTCTGGCTCCTTCCAGCGCCCGCACGTCAGAGCGGCCGGGCTCCGACCCGCGCGCAAAAGCGGTGAAGGGAGCGCGCCTCCCCAGCGCCAGGATTCCCGCCCCGAGGTGTGGCGCGAGGTCTGGGCCAAGCAGCCGCACAGCAGCGGTTTTCTATCCCACCCCGCCCCGCCGTTCAAGTTCGGAGCTGCGGCTTTGTTAGGCTTCGGCTTCATCGGTGTTGGCGAGCTGATAAAAGCGAGAAGGCAAACAGGAAGGGGGGGAGAGAGAGGAAGGAAGAACCATATAGGAAAGGCGGGGAGGCGGAGAAGGGAAAGGAAGTTATACCTTCAATGAATTGGACTTTAGGTATTAAGGAAAAGGTTTGTGAGTGAGACTTGGAGTCTTTATACAAGGAAAAATACAATCTGAGCAAAATATTTCTCTATAAAACTCTGAGTAGTGTATGTTTCCCCTCAGAGCATTTTGCAACCAGTATACAACCAGTTAGGTGACTGCCCTTCCTCTCAATGTTTCCTCAACAGGATGGTCTCTTTTGTGTTTTCCTTAGAAAATTGTCTGTGTTGTTGTTGTTGTTATTATTATTATTATACTAAAAATTAATTTGTTTACATACAAAAAAACCCAAGACAAAACAATACTTCACCCCTTACCCCAGGGACCATGATACAGTACGTACTGCAGAGTGAAAGAATCCTGTCTCTGCAGCTCCTCTCATCAGCGGAACCGGTCACCCTTATTAGTGCATATGCACCAACACTGTCATCTACAGCAGAAGTCAAAGAAAAATTCTATGACGATCTGGCACCTACTATCAAGAGAATCCCCGAGAAAGACCCGCTGTTCATTCTCGGAGATTTTAACACTAGAGTTGGTGGTGATCACAAGTCTTGACCACTTGTCCAGGCTGGTTTGGCATGGGGAAGATGAACAAAAATGGCCAACGCTCATAAATGGCCAATGCTCGTTGGAGTTTTGCTGTTATTATGGTCTGCACATTCTTTAATACAAAGCTTCAATACAGAGTATCTTGGAGACATCCTAGATCGAAGCATTGGCATCAGCTTGGTCTGATCTTCACTAGATGCTCTAGCCTTTCTAGTATTACAATCACACACAGTTATCAGGGTGCTGATTGCGATACTGATCACTCCCTGGTGTAGAGCAGAGTAAAAAGTATTTATCAGGGTGCTGATTGTATCATACAAAAAAGGAAGGAAGACCACATATTGCCATTAGCAAGACTCGCGATCAGAGAAAAGTGGAGGAACTTGCTCAAGCACTTGAGGAAACTCTTCCAGGCCCGGCTGTTACAAATGCACCTGAACGATGGAACATTTCAAGAATGTTGTTTATAATACCATCTTGTCCACATTTGGCAAGAAGACCAAAAAGAAGGCAGACTGGTTTGAAGCCCATTCGGAGGAGTTGATGCCAGCCATCAAGGAAAATAGGAGAGATCTAGCAGCATACAAAGCCTGTCCTAGTGAGTATAACTTGCAGGTTCTTCAAATTGATTGTAACAAAATTCAGCAGACTACCAGGACATGTTCTAAGGATTATTGGTTTCAGCTCTGCTCTCAGATACAAACAGCAGTGGACACAGGTAACATCAAGGGAATGTATGAGGGTATCAGGCAGGCTTTAGGTCCAATACAGAAGACATCTGCTCCTTTGAAGTCTGCTACAGGCATGATCATCCAGGATCGAGTACAGCAGATGGACCGCTGGGTGCAGCATTACTCAGCTATATTCTAGAGAGAACGTAATAACCAAAGAGGCATTAAATAACATCAAGTGCCTGCCTTGATGTTATTTGGAAGAGTTGGACAGCAAACCAACTTTAGCAGAAATAAAAGCAGCCTTGGATTCCCTCGCCTCCAGCAAGTCACCTGGGAAAGATAACATCTCTGTTGGAGTGCTGTAAAGAGATCATCACCACTGAACTGTATGAAATCTTTTGTCTTTGCTGGAGGACATGGACATGAAGGATGCAAACACCGTGGCATCTCTCTTCTCAGTGTTGTAGGGAAGCTGCTTGCCTGTGTCATGCTAAAGAGGCTCCAGACAGAGTCTATCCAGAATCACAGTGTGGATTTCGAGCTAATAGAGCCACCATCAACAAGGTATTTTCCCTCTGTTGCAGGAGAAATGTAGGGAACAATGACAGCCACTCTTTATCACCTTCATAGATCTTTTTTTGCTGTCATGCTGAAGCATGCCTTTGGAACTGCAACAGTAGGTGTCTATCTCCAGACTAGATCGGATGGAGTGCTCTTTAATCTCGCTAGATTGAGAGCGAAGACCACCTGAAATGCATGCGGGACTTCCTCTTTGCCGATGATGCAGCTGTTGTTGCCCATTCTGCCAAAGACCTCCAACAACTTACAGTAGGTTGAATCATTTTAGCAAGGCTTGCCAAGATTTTGGATTAACAATCAGCCTGAAGAAAACACAAATCATGAGCCAGGGCCTGGACTCACCTCCCTCTACTACCATCTCCACACAAGAATTGGAGGTTGTTCATGATTTACTGTACATTAGCTCAATGATCTCTGGCACACTCTCTCTAGATGTCGAGCTGGATAAACACATTGGCAAAGCAGCTACCATGTCCTCTAGACTCACAAAGAGAGTATGGCTTAACAAAAAGCTAACGGCATATACCGAGATCCAGGTCTATAGAGCCTGTGTCCTGAGTACACTCTTGTACTGTGGTGAGTCCTAGACCCTTTGTGCACGGCAGGATAGGAAGTTGAACACATTCCATATGTGTTGTCTCCGATGCATTATTGGCATCACCTAGCAGGACAAAGTTCCAAATAGTGTAGTCCTAGAATGAGCTGGAATTTTTAGCATATATAAATTACTAAAATAGCAATGTCTACATTGGCTGAGGTATGTCATGAGAATGGCTGAAGGTCGGATTCCAAAATATATCCTGTATGGAGAACTAGTGCAGGGAAAGTGCCCCAGAGGGAGACCACAGCTGCAGTACAAGGATATCTGCAAGAGGGATCTGAAGGCCTTAGGAATGGACCTCAACAGATGGGAAACCTTAACATCTGAGCGTTCAGCCTGGAGGCAGGCAGTGCAGCATGGCCTCTCCCAATTTGAAGCAGGCTGAGGCAAAGAGGCAGTCCCAAAACAAGCAAAATCAGGGAGGTGGACAGGGGACAGATTGTATTTGTCTTCAGCATGGAAGGGATTGTCACTCTCCAATTGGCCTTCTCAGCCACACTAGATGCTTTTCCAAGACCTCTATTCAGAGCACGTTATCATAGTCTCTTGAGACTGAAGGATGCCTACTAATACATTTTACAACAACATCTCACATCTTTTTTTAGAAGAAAAACTCATCCCTTCAAGAAATACATATATTCTTGACTTGGCATTTGCCCTTTTCCTTTATTCAATAAGGCAGTTATAAAGTCAACCCATGTCTCATTAAATTTATTATTTATCACTCCTTTTTTAAAATTAATTTCAGAAGTCAGTTTATCGTTAATCACAATATTCCTGATTTCATTATACCACTCATGTGGTTGAACAATCCAGTTCTTCTTCCAGTTTCTTGCTATAAGTAATTGAACTGCTGTTAACATATTTATACTCCTCTTCCTTTGAATTATGATAATCTATTAAGAATAATAATGATGTTCTTGATGATGCTTCAGTGTTGACTTCCACTATTTTTCTAATTTCTTTAAAAGCTTCCCTCCAAGCCCTTTGTATTACTTCACATTCCCACTATAAGTGAGATACATACAGTACTTAATTCTTTACTGCATCTCCAACACATATTGGAATATTTAGAATCTATTTTGTTTAATTTTAGTGGTGTTAAATACCATCCCCACATTGTTTTATAATCATCTTCTTTTATTCTGACATATTTTTAAAAACCCTTCAATTCCATACATATTTCCATTCCTCTTCATCTCTTTTTCCTAAATCTGCTTCCCATATTATTTTTAACCTTCTTAATCGATCTGCTTCTTCTATCAATATTCTATAAATATTACCAATTCTCCCTTTCCCGTTTTTTTCCATTCGCCTCATTCTCCATATTCTTTATATTTTCACTTTGTCAATTGCATATCCTTTAATTTTTTCCTGTTCTTTCAACCATTGTTCCAGTTGTATCAAACTTAACCGATTTAAGTTTTCTTCTGCAAAAACGGCACCTGCAAATAAGCTTATTTTAATGTTTTCTCAAAGGTTTTCTCAGCTGAGATCCAATGGTGGTTGTATGTTTTTAGGGCTGTTAAAACCTACACACTTCACCAGAACACATACAGATTTCTAACTCCTGTCCACTGAAGATGCTGACCACAGAGACTGGTGAAACATTATGAAGAAAAACCTCCAGAACACAGCCAAACAGCCCGAAAAACCTACAACCAAGCTTATTTTAGTCTTCTGCCAACTTCCAATCCCTTTTATTAAATCATCTGTTCTTATGGCATTAGCCAGTACCTTAATTATTAAAACAAACAATATTGGGGAGAGAGGGCATCCTTGTCTTGTTCCTCAACTTAGGTTTATTACCTCCATGATACCATCATTTACCATCATTGTTGCCTTATTTCCTAAATATAACTGATGAGTTACATTTATAGGTCTTGTTCCAAATCCCAATTTATCTATTAATATCTTCAGCGTTGGCCATTCTATGTAATCAAAAGCTTTGTAAATATCTAGTGCTAATACACCTGATTTTAAATTTTTTATTTATATAATAGTTTATATTTAAAGCTCTCCAAAACAAATTTGACATTTGCCTTCTTCCTATGAACCCACACTGATAATTTTTAGCTATAAATTTACTCATTCTACTTGCCAAGATTGCTGTAAATTTGAGCCATTGAGCTCAGTGGGGCTTATTTACCTTCATCTTCTGTTTAAGTATTATAATAAAAGAGAATGTCTGGAGCACAATTTCAAGACCATGAAACCTAGCCACCTAGACCTTGGTATGAGAACTAAAGGGGACATTGGAGATTATTTTGTTGTACGTTCT